TTCTTCAAGGCATAGCAATCAGCTCTAATATACACATTCTTCTTACAATACTGACATGTCTTTTCAACATGTCTAGATTTCGATATGCCCCTCATATTTCTGATAGGATTCCTATCTTGATTTCTCCCACGCGCAATCAAGCCCTCAGCATGATTTTCAGATCCTCCAATAAGATGCATCATCTTCTCCTTAGATAGTAAAGCATCATAGACCTATTCCATGGTAGAGTATCCCGACTATAAAGAATAGTATCCCTAAAAGTCACATATGATGGTGGCAGCGAATACAACATCAAAGTCAAGTCCTCCATATCATACTTAACCTCCAATGTCTCCAAATCAACCATGATTTCTTTGAACATAGTTAAGTGATCATCCAATTACGCACCTTTAGACATTCGGTGAGAATACAAGCGTTGTTTCAAGTGTACCTTGCTGGTCAAGCTCTTTGTCATGTAAAGTTGCTCCAACTTCAACCACAACGCATCGGCCCTTTTCTCCTTAAGAACATTTTGAAGAATTTGATTCAAGAGATGTAGATGAATATGAAATTGGGCTTTTCGATCCCTACCCTGCTTTTCGTCCTGTGTCCAGGTAGCAAACATCCTATCAAAGCCTAGCAAGGCTTCCTCCAAATCCATCTGCGCCAACACCGCTCACATCTTCACTTGTCATAATGTAAATCTCGTGTTTCTATTCAACAACAGAATGTCATACTTCATTGTCGCCGTGCAGAACAATCAACCTCACGCTCTGATACCACTTGTTATAAAACGGATTGCAAGATAGTGGCAATAATGAAATAATGAAGAAAATAAGAACACAAGAATTTACGTGAAAATCCAATTCGGGAAAAAATCACAGGTAAATGAGAACAATCCACTATAATAAATAGTTTTGTGTATATCAAGATTTCAATAAACTCAATTGAAATCTAAACTCTCAATCTCTCTATATGTTGTTGAATATATAGAGAATATAATGAGAATGTTTTTCTTGTGTTCTTCTCTATACAAGTCATGTCATATATATACCCTAGAGAACAAGTTGTGGAAGAATAGGAAAAATCACGTCAAAAAACGAAAACGGGCTTGGGCTGCACAAGCCTGTCGCTTGGGCGAGAGGCGAGCAACCAAGTCTTGGGTTATTTTCTTCCGGGCTCGCTCGAGCATCAAGCTAGTGTCAGGCTAGCGAAAATGCGGCTACTTTTTCTTCTAATCCATAATTTTGATCTTTTCAAGACCACTCCAATTTAGACTCCAATACGCACTAGAATTTGGGTCAAACCACAACAGCGGTAGTGGCTGCTAACGCTCCGTTTATAATTTCAATCATGTATCTCATGGGATCCACAACTTTTTAACTACACATTTCGTAACTTCTATCGAAATCTAATAAAAATATGAATTTAATCCCACCAAACAAGGCTTGATAATTTGAACTTATATTCCGCAAGAAGCAAATGACGTTGCTCATGTTCTAGCTAAATATTGTATCTTGCACTTTTCTGATTCAAAATGGGTTGGGGAGCCCCCCAAGCTTCATTTCCGAGGCTGTTTTGGCTGAATATTAATGAAATCTAGTCCATACTAGGAAAAAAAGATAGTACATGAATCTGTCATGAATTGAGATAAATAACACTAATGGGCAGCCTCGATTTATAGTGAGGCAAAACGAAAGCCTCAAATTCCATAGTTAATTCCATTTGTCTGATAATAAAATCAAATTTCTATTCTGCATATGACAATCCTAAGTTCAAACTTCACATATCGAAATAAACAAAGATAAAGATGAGTACTAATAATGTACTTCCTTTTTTTTTTGTCAACAAAGTATAGTACCAAGAACAGGCCCATAGCCAGGGATTGTCTATCAGAAAAGAAGAATAAGAATCAAATGAGTAAACAATAGAAAGTGCAAATCAACGCGAAAAGAATAGGATATACTGCTATTAATTGTCTAAGAACACAGATGTTACTTAGTATTCACTGAGGACACAAGAGTCTGCTGTTATTCTACAGCAATTCAAGGAGAACAATTCCGGTCATCTGTTGAGCGTCAATTCTCTAGGTGTTCCCATGTACATTGACAGACATCATTGCTATCCATATCTAACTGCTCATCTCTCATCAGCTGTTTCGGTGTGCATTTACAGCGGTCATTTCTAATCATATCTGACGAGCCATTTTTGTCATCAATCAGAATGTTATATCTGGAGGAAGATGATATTTCTGGAAGTCCATTTAGTCATAAGATAGCTTCTGGAAGTCTCGGTTTACTACTACAGCGGAGAAAGAGCTGTCTAGGTATGTTGAATGCATGGAGATTTGATACTACATCAGGTTGTGCCAACGCTAAGGATCCCGTGAATGCCAGCAAAGGGTCTACTAGAAAAGCTTTATTTTCGCCATTTCTTTCCTTCTCTGTTCTAATTTCTTCTAATAAAGCTTCACTGGTTTCGATACCTGTTCAATTTTGATGACAAGTAAGATATTGGAATTTCTGTTTTGATACAAATTATAGTTCTTAAAAGATTGCTTTCTCCACATTGGAAGATTTCCATTATACTGCATACCGGAAAGGTAAGCTCCATGCACGTAGCCATTAAATTTTTCGTTTGTATGTTCCCCGGTGAAATAGATCCGTCCAAGTGGTGCCTGAACAAAAAATTCGTAAGAAAGGCCAGGTAAGACATTGCATAAATATGAAGGCTCCACCTCTGAATTGCATTCTTCTGAACATCTCGTCAGTGCTCGATAATATTCTGCTAATTTTCCTAAGTCGCTTCTACCTTTTTACCTTAAGTTGTAATAAAAGTAGGTGGATTCCAGCTACTTACAATAAATACTTATTCTAATAATAAGGTCCATAGGACATTATGTAAGTGCATCATCACTTTTACAAGTTGTTGAAGAATGGAAGTAAATTCAAACCTTAATATCATCTATGAGTTGATGATTAATGTGGATAGGATAATTGCTGTAGCTACCCCGTTGGAAGCGATTGTTCCACCACCGTGGCACGAGTATGGCAATGGCATCTGGAATGTCAGGTCCAAACATCTTCCTTAGTACTTCCATTGCTTCTTTCATGGTTTGTTGATCTGATTGAGCTTCAACACGTTTTGATTCTCCATTTGTCAATGTTACGACAAGGATATTAGACCCTGGATAAGCATTCTCCATGTGCTGATAACATAGCAACAGATAAAGTCATTTTTGTGCTTAATTTAGTTGTGAATGACTTGACAAGCTATGCACAAACATGTTCTCGATAATACTGAATTATAAGTCCTATACAGTATTATATGGCTAAAATGCATGATTATTAACTTAATTGTTGGTAATGACAGTAGAATAGAATCCCAAGAAGGATGCAAAACAAGCCATTTTTAAGTATAAACATATTGGTTTTAGTTAGCTAAAGAATTGATGATCTTATTCATGGGACTATCATGCTATGTCACTCTCACTAGAGTGCAAAGAACAACTAGACATTAGCTGCTACTGGCAAACTATATATTGCTGAGGGTGACAGAACATAGAAAATACATCAATAAAGAAAAAATAAGCGTATTTGTTAAATAAGCTCAAAAGCCCCTTCCAGCTACCTCATATAGGGGGAACGGGAATGAAATAATTGCTCTATAATTAGTAAAATGTGTATATATGTTGTGATTGATGTAAGATAGTCTCCTTTCACTTTTAGTTTAGAACAGATTAAGGATGATTTCTTTTACGTCCCGCCATAACTCTACGTACCAACTACCCAAGGCAAATGATTTTGGATTCAAAACAATGAGTTTGATATTTGCAGATGTTATTACACAGTGACCATAAAATCAATTTAATTCATATTATCAAAACTGTGAGTGAATCAGAGTTGATATTATTACAGTAAAAAGTATCAATCAACAATGTCTCATCAGTTAAGCATAAAAACAAAGGTTGTCCAGAAAATAACTTTTGTTTTATTGGGAAATTAGAATAGAACCGGCTTGACATTATATTGTTTCACTAAAAGTTTCATATACACCAATAATAGAGTCTGTAAGTTTGGAGTTTTCTGGAAGGGGACTGCATTATTTAAGTTCGTGTCCAATTTGAACACTCAAAATCTTATTTATGACTCAGCAACAGTTCAAAGAAGTAATCGAACTACATTATAACAAGAAGATCAATTGTCTAATATGGGAAGGGACATTTCTTTTTCAGATGCAATTAAAAATCATCATAAAGCGAAATTAAGGAACAATGGATCTCGTCTTCGTGAAAAAAGATGCTATGTAAATGACTCGTTTCCATCAATTCACAAATAGGTGTTTATGTTAGCAAGATAAGAAAGAATAAATGGCTCTAAGACAATAATGAACAAAATTCATTATACACACCTGCCAGAATGTGTAGTACCCTCGCCGCTCGTTGGCATAGATGAAAAATTCTTTTTCTGGCCCACAAGGCCAGAACTTATGCGGAAACTTCAGGAAGACCTTTGTATACACCATAATGTCGCAATTGGTGATGGCCTCTGTTTTCCATTTCTGTTTAATTATTTATTTATTGCATCAGTATTTAACAATTCATATGAACATGACTGAAGAAACTGAAATCATCTATCTTGGATCAAAGGGACCACAAATAAACAATCCGGAATGCATGAATTTGTCATAAAGATTCTCAATATAAAACAACCAAGCTGAGTCATAAACAAGAAAAACTGCCGAGTACATTATCCTTTTTATATAAATTATAAGGGCTGCCAAACAGTCCCAGCTCACAAGCTAGACTCACCGCTGCACAAAACTTCTAAAATACATGTTTCCATTTCACAAGTTATACTCTCCGTTGGCCTATTTTCAGATGCGTTTTGGTAACTTCTATATCTAGCACCAGTAACGCACAAGAGAACCAGCTATGACTGCGCCCACACCTCACTAGAAAAACAAATGGACATATATTCCTACACGTTACAGATGTTGTCAAGTCTTGACAGCTCATTTATATACCAAGTGAGGCATAACACTACAGATTCATGAAATGCTCCGCACTTCATTTGAATCTTAATTCTACCAAGACCAACATGAAACTACATTTAGTATGACAGCTCAAGTCCATCATCAATTCTAATATCTCTGAATTGTTTTAAATAGAATCAAGGGCCAGGAACTGTTCATCAATACAGTGCAGGTGAACCAGTTAGGTAATCCAACCTAGAGGGGACCCATACTTTTGTCCTTGGTATCATAATCCTTTTTCAATTCAATGATCAGATTATTATTGGACAGTCAACGTCTTTTCAATCCAAGAACATGTATTGAGAACCCCAGTGCATATCACCAATGATATTACATGAACTCCTGAAAGCTAATAGGAATTCTTTAAGGCCTATCTCAATCAAATTATTTAACTTATTTTCATTTAGAAAAAATGTCCTATACTGATCACTTCGACCCGGAGGTAAACACCCTATGATAGATTCCACTCCCTCCACTAAAGGTAACTCCACCATCAAAGGCATAATGGTGCTTTGGCCCGACATATAGAGGTTAGTATCAACTTCATGTTTGGAACGCAGCATTAGATTGTACTGGACAATGTAAAAGACAAGATTTTGAACATTTTCTCTTCTTTAATATTGTTAAATACTATTTTAATATCATACTATGCAAATATATAGTTTAAATACAAGCTGTTATTGTTGGGTAACGAGAGGGGAAAAAAAAAAACTCACAGGCAAGGGTGGTTTAAAGGAGATGAGGTCGCTTTGGAGAACACCAATGCTAACAGACAAAATAATGTAATTGGCTTCGTAAATGCAGCCATCCTCGGTTTTCACTGAAACTCCATTCCTCGAGTGCTGTAATTCCCGAACAACCTACCCAAATTTATGAACGATGAACAAATAATCAATGTGCATTTATTCCCAGATGTACTGTATGTACCTAACTAAATTCAGAAAATACAAAGTCCTAAGCAACTAGGACTTGGAGAGATTTTAACAAGTCAAACCAAGAAAATCTGTGCAAAAGATAACTTTTTTTCAAAAATGCTATTTGTACCCACTTGGTATACAATCATCTCACATGTGTGTGGAATCCACAATGGGGCCCACATTGTGAGACCTACACATATGTGAGATGGTTGTGTACCAAAGGGTGTAAGTGTAGCAAGGTTCACTTTTTTTTTTTTTGTCTCGTTCGTCTTTTGTACATACTTGCAAATCAATTGGTGTATTTACTTGTATGACAATTTCTTTGGGTCATGAAGATTGCACAATACATTATCACATAGTTAACAATTTACGATCCCTGAACAAAAATAAAAAGCTAACCAGCCTTCTCCAAAAGGAGAGCTATTACTACTTTTACCCAATGGCAGGGGGACAGTTCGGGACAGTTGAGTTTTGGTCCATTAAACATTACCTATCCTGTCCACTTGCCTCTTATTTTAGGAGTCTATATTTAGAAGAATGCGACAAAAACTAGAAAGACAGGGAATGACATGACATGAATGGCGCCGGCCAAACATGATAGTAATGTCTTTGGACACATCACATTGAAACATCCCTATCTGTGGACTCCTCAAGTGATTTACATCAATCCAAACATCGATACAACAAAAACAAAGAAGAAAGATGCATGAATACAAACCAACTGTTTCTGCTCTCTTTTTATACCCTATTTTGCTTACATTTTTTTTTTATCTTATTATTGGAAATCTGTAATATTTGCTTTATGCATATAAATACCTTGTTGACTTTTAGGCGACTGTCCAAGATTTTACCCTCTGAGGTAAAGAGAAAGTTTTCTGCCATTTTATACAGCAAGCACTCGTATCCTCTTTCATCAGCTACCAAGAATTCTCTCTCCCCAAAATCTACATATGTTGAGATAGGTTCAACTTCTGTAAAATGTAAACCAAACCCAATTTTCAGATTCACATGAAATAAAACATATTTGGGAAAAAAAAAATTGCTGTGAGATTTAAGGCATGGAAAAATCATAAATTTAATTGACCTGCCATTTCAAAGTCGTGCAGAATGAAGTCTATTGCCAGTTCAATTGGTGTCTTCGGAACTCTGCAGAAATCAGAAAATTCTATTAGGATGAATATCAATTTTGATATGAATCATCAATGATATATTATGTGCTAACTATGTCGCAGGGAAATGGAAAATGGGACAATATATGACAACGTGTAGAAACAAAACAAGAAAGAAATTATAGCCGGGTGGGGTCGGAGGGATGAAGAAAGTGATAATACGTTGGTGTCTCAGCAAGGACTGAAACATCAGCATCACGATTAGATTCTTCATTCTTCAGCTTCGTAATGGCCGATTCCACCGCCTTCTTGTATGAATCCGCTGCTATTCCACTCGGAAATATTTTCCCACTGCAAAAAGGAGAAATCACTCACAAAATTGATTCGATAATTTAATAAATTAGTCCATTATTTAATAAAGAAAATCCTGGCTTAACTAATTGAGCGTCACTGTCAACACAGAGCATTGCCTTATCAGATTGATTAAGAGATTGATTAAGATCTTAAAAATATTCAAACTAACAAAACGTAACATACAATTAATGTGTAACCTGTCAAACTCAAAACTGTTCCAACTAATTATTGATTCAAATGGAGGTTCACAGATTTTCGTTAATTATTAGTTAATTAAAAGTAAATTACAACTCACAGCCAAACTGTCAATGTTAATCAAATTTAAATGCAAAATAGAAAAATGATGGCCAAAAATTACTCTCAATCATGCATTAACTGAATGTGCAAACGCTAATGTGGGAGCGAGCGATTAATTTTCAAACTAGCTTACTCCAAAATCTCTTTCTATAGGAATCAAAAGCAAAAGCCATGACAAAAGGACCCTTTGTTGAACCGTGTGAAAATGCGTGTGTGAGAGATTAATGAATCACATATGAAGGAAAATATAACCTGTCATCGTAAATGTTGTAACGAGCATTGCTGTAATCTGAGAAGCACGTACGGAGGTTCGATTGTCGAGCGAGCTCCCAGACTGGATTGGACTGTTTTCCGCCGACGCCGGCGATCCAACCGGCGCCAAGCTCCACAGTCACACCGCCGAACTCCTCCTTCCTTATTCTCCCTCCAATCCTATCCGCCGCCTCTAATATCACCACGTCCTCCACCCCATTCTCGGCAAGCAATTTGGCCGCCGAGATTCCTACAGATTTCGGCAAACGCAATTCAACATACACACAATATACTCAAAATTATACATCTCCTTATCACATATTTATTCGTGTATACCTGAAATTCCAGCTCCCACGATGAGAACGGAGCATTGAGTCGTAGTCTCCATGAAGATTTTCAAAATTTACAGAGAGAGATTTAGCGTTTGAATTTGAGAGGAAGAATAATAGGTGGAGTCGGTTAATATAGTTTCACGATGCACCAGTCCCTCCCCTGGCTTCCTGCCGCTTTCGAATTTTTGTTATCCTTTAAGATTATTTTCGAATTTTGGCTTTTATGCAAAAAAATATATATATAATAATTGGTACAAGTTTGAAAGTCAAACTTAAAATCCTCCCATGCATTTTACGAAAATTGGACACGTGAATTCTAAACCGCATGTTAATTTAAAAATACGTGTAAATAATTAGTTGGGTGGACAACAAATTGAACAATAAAAGTTGGACAACAAATATCAACTCCTGTTTGAGCCCTGTTTTTTTAAAAATAAAATATATTTTTCTCTCTTACTTTCAACCACATATTTTTCAATAAAATAATATTACACACAAATTCCAAAATTTTCCTTATTTTTTAACCACATATTTTCCATCAAAACACTATTTAAAATGCATTCTTGAGAGAATAATATGGCTCAAACGGGGTGATAATATGTTTTGGAATATTGATTTATTTAAAAATATGTGATTAAAAAATAAGAAAAAAGTTTTCGATTTCCATTTAAAATAATCTTATGAAAGAATGTATTGTTGATTATGAGTTTTGAAAAAAAAAATGGGGTCAAACATAGGCTGAGCCCTTGTTTAATCCACATTTTTTTCAAAATACATTTTTCTCTTTTCTTTTCAACCGCACATTCACACATCAAATAATATTACATGCAAATTCAAATTTTTTTCCTTATTTTTTAACTACACATTCTCTATCAATCTGCTATTTCAAAATACATTTTATACAAAAAATGGAGGGCTCAAACATGCCCTCAAATACGAAGAAACCCCCAAGTATGCATACAAATGAAATTGTCCTTAAAAATAAGATGAAATAAAAATAACATCAATGATGTTAGAGCATCAATTTAGACGGTCGCACTTGATATATTCAATTAAATAAATCATATAACACTACATTTAAGTGAATGCATCATTTATCGCTATATAATCTTCACCCAAATTAGTGTTGAATATCGCTGACGTTGAATAACATTACTTAATAAATTATGAACCAGTTAGTACTAAAAGTACAACCCCAAGGGCACGGTCCCTTGTGTCCAGAGAAGCCAATGCCCAATACTACCCTATATCAAATTTGAGCCATGCTACTATGACAGGATTTTTTGACAGGGTTTAGTGACCAACAACACTTGTCACCAAATCATTGGAAGATGGGTTTTTTTTAAACAAAACAGACGAATCACTACACGCCACATCATCGTTGTCATCAAACCCCGGCTCCAATCCCTGTCTGAGTATAATAATCCATCAAATTTCCTACTAAGAATTTGTGACATGTCTTGGGCAAGGAATTTTCGTGAACATGTCTGTAATTTGAAGTTCTATTTGACATTCCCAATGCGTAGAAAATCTGGTCATTTATTGAAAAAAAATGTTGTTAAAATCAATGTATAAAAATATATCAACTCTCATGATGTCAAACTTGATACACATGTAGTATGATTGAACATCAATTCTTTTATAGATCGTATCTTTGTTTCACTAGCTACGTATCTATTAACTATAGAAAGTTTGCTTAAATGGTCTTCGACAATCAACTTCAGGCTATGACAAAACCAAAAATATACCATCAACAATATTATACATTTGGGTCAAGCTATTTGTACAACCTCGGTTGACAACCTCTCACATGAAGGATCCACTTATTTTTTTGAATTTTTTAAACATGCGGACCCCACAAGCATGTGAGAGGTTGTCAACCGAAATTGTCAACCTCAATTATACAAATAGAATTATCCTATAGATTTTTACAAACATACTCACAAAAACTATTATTTTGAAAGAGTGATACTAGACGTATATAATGGGGTGTCCATAACGGTGTCCACCCCCTCACATGGAAGGAGACCCACTTCGAATAAAATATAATATATCCAAAGTGGGTCCCCCTCCATGTAAGGGGGTGGATACCATTATAGACACGACATTATGTACAAGTAGCATATTCCATTTTGAAATGAGATAAGAAAAACATTATTTACCAATGCATACAGAACATAGAACAATGTGTTATAAGATAAACTATTCTGTGTTAATAAACTTATCGTCTACTTCAATGACTTCGTTCGCACTCTCCCAACACTATCCGTCTCAATACCTACTTGGGTAATAATAATAATAATAATAATAATAATAATTCAATTTCAGATGGCTTAAAATTTAGATTTTAATTTAAGTCAAAATCAATAATTAATTTTAACCACTTATTTCATGGGATCCACAACTTTTCAATCACATATTTTATCAATTTTTATCAAAATTACTAAAAATCGAATTATGATCTTCGCCAAACAGGGACTTAAATTCTCCGAAGGGCAAACATGTTTGTCTCAAATTATGGCAATAAAGACAGAATAATGTTAAGTGTACATTTCATGAGTTATATCTTATTGTACATTGTATGAGAGTTCAAAAAGTATAGGACGAAAAGGTGTGTTTAAAAAAAATTCCAACCATGTGTCACCACGCGACACAATGTCAAAAATGAAGTTAAAAAAAAAAAAAGATACACTTGTAACATGATAGATAAAGACATGCATTGGTATGGGAGGGTGTTGTGTCAAAATCGGCACGTGAAATGCATTTAAGCCGCGGCAGGCAATGAAATGGGTTGGTGGGGTCAGCAAAGGCTCCTATTTATGTAGGTGAAACGTGAACATTTTAAATGTATCGACAGTCATTTATATTGGGCTGCTTTAATGATTGACAGTTACTTCAAATACATAATTCTAGATTTATTAAGAATTAAATAACTAATAAATCCAATTTTTTGTTTCACTGGGGCCATGCCAAGAGCCTCAACGCATCTAAAAATAATAATAATTAAGTGGTGATCATGACAGAATACTTGGAAGTAATTTTGGTTTCAATTTTGTATTTTGAATTTTGAATTCATTTTATGTTTTGTGTTTTGAATATTCATTTTGAGATTATTGAAAATGTGTTCTTTTTGGCATTTTGAAAACACCCAAAACGCGTTTTGAAAATTTTGGCTTAATTATAACTGAAAACACTCAAAACGACAAATTTATCGTTTTGGGGTTTTCTTTGGAGTGATTTCAACTTTATTTTGTTAACTACTTTTCAAATAATTTTAATTATTGACTGACGTTTGATAATTTATTATATATGATTAACTATTCATTTAATTTTTGTAACTTGTGACTTCGAAACTGTAGAATTTTTGCCTATTTTTCCAACTAAAACAAAATTCTTAATCAATTTTTCATGCACAATTTATCACAAAGTGTGAAAATGTAAAACCTTTTTTTGAGGAATTTTCTTTATTTATAAGTATAATATGTAATAAATTTTTTTTGGGGCTCCCAGCAAGCAAGGCCTTAGGCTATCACCTTCCTCACCTATAGTTAGGGCCGACACGGATGCACGGTCTCTTTTTTGAGCTAGGCTACTTTAGCACCATAAGAGACAACTAAAATGTCACCAAACACATCGGAAGCCAATAAATCTTATAATACAAATATGCGGCCTTAGGCGATCGCCTAACCACCTATAATCAGGGCCGACACCGATGCACGCTCTCTTTGTCGAGCTAAGCCACTTTAGCGACATTATTTACCTGAATTATATAAAACTAAATAAAATAAGATCAAGTTCTTGACAACTGACACATCAGAAGCAAAGAAATCTTATAATACAAATAATAGAATGTGACTGGACAAGTAGAATTTGATCGGACAAGGTCATGATATTATTTTTACTTATACTTAATTTCATAGTCGATCTTAAGACCGACCGAGTAAAAGATAAGGGTTATTGTGACTTATAAGCAGAGCTCAATGCAAAGAAAAAGAAAGGACGTGCAACTTGAATATATTTCTATTTCTTGATAAATAATTACTAAAGTAAGTTCTCGATGTTGATATGTGGAATCTTTTATTTTATTATTATCTGTTAATTGAATGATGTTAGCACAATTTTATAAAGAATGATCATTTTTACATCGAGAAGATAAAAAGAACATACAAAAGTTGGCAACTGAATTAGACAGGCAAGAACTCTATTCGTAGACAATAGTTAGCTATGTCTTTTATTGCTAGGATCAAAACGTAGGGATAATAAGATTTTGATCACAACATTTCTCGTCTAAGAATATTGAATAATGTTATTCATCTTCGACAGTTCCCTAAGTGAAAGTGATCGCCTTGATTCATCATGCAGCGGATCAACTCTGTTGAACAATAAATTAGAAGACTCGCCAACTCTTAGTTGGTGGTCATTACTAATGATGAATGACATTAGTCAATAAGATTAAATATTTTTTAAAATTATTTCTTTTAAGTTCAATAAATATTGACGAGTCGTTGACTAAGACTATTCGACTCTGATTTTCTACCGAAAAACTTGAGGCGAGCTACAACAAACCAGCACTGATGATATGATTCTACTAACACAAATTCAATCTAAGTGTGTGTTTGTCTCCCATTATTGTAAAAGAAATTGAGTAATGAATAGTATTTTTGGAGAATGTGTGGTTGAAATTTAAAGTAACTTTATTGATTTGTGTGTAGAATATTTTATTGGGTGAACGTACGGTGCTGAATCTTACTGCAGCAAACAATGTTTTGAAATAATGGGAGACAAATGAGGCCTAAATGTCAGGTACCAATCAATATCAAACCCTTCAAAACTGCTCTAGAGATTCATACAAACAAGATTCTATTATTTGTGTCATCGAAAGGTCGTTTGCACTTCGATTTATTAACTAATTTCTTCTTATTTATGCCTAATAATCTAATATCCAATAATTAAACTTAGATTAGTGATTTGTTAGCATATTATTGGGCCACTTATCACGTTCTCACTCATTAATCTTGATAAAAAAAAAAAAAATTGATTGTCCAAAATTCTTAGC